TCTGTGGTTTAACCCACAGCGCCACCCGCATTTAGGCTGGCACAATTAAAGTGAAGTTCTCCCTCACCCTAGCACAACAGATCCACTTTGAGAAAGAGGCAGACTTTTTTTTAGTTAGGAAAGTGAATGAACTGAAATATGTGGGCTGTTTTAGGATGTGCGTGCTTGTTTATTCATTTAAAATATACTGGGCAGATATTTGTAGACTGCCTTCTGAAGGGGGCTAAATACAAGACAATAAACTAATTGCACAAAGATCACAAAATGCTGAAATATGCATCACATAAAGATCACAAGACTGGCCATAACAAGGAGGTGAATCGGTCCAGCATGACAGAACCAATTTAAAACCAGTCAAAAACCTTCATACTCTCCGACCACAACATTTTACTCAAAAGCCATCTGAAACAAGTGAGGCAGCCATACCTACTGTATTTAAAGGCCCATTTAAAGGTCTGCAAAAAAAGGGCCATTTGAACACTCCTCAAGAGATAATATGATAATCATGGGGTCACCACTTAAAAAGCTCACACCTCCCTCCCTTCCTCGCCAACCTAATGGATAGTATTGCATACCCTCCAACATTTCTCCAATGAAAATAGGGATGTCCCATTCCATAATGATAATTTTACTATTTATACCCCACACATCTTACTGGGTTGCCCCAGCCACTCTGGGCAGCTCCCAACATATATAAAAAAAATTATAAAACATTAAAATAACCTTCCCTATACAGGATTGCCTTCAAACAGTTTGGGAGTCAGATAACTTCATACCTTTCAACATTTATCCAATGAAAATAGGGACATCCTAAGGAAAAGTGGGACATTCCAAGATCAAATCAGAAACTGGGATGGCTTCTCTAAATCAGGGATGTCCCTGGAAAATAGGGACACTTGGAGGGTCTGGTATTGACTAATAAATGAGGAGGATGTCTGAAGCTTATTTTTCAGTGCAGGCAGCCTGATACAACTTCAGATAGTCCTTCAAGTACTCTGGTCCCAAACCTGTTATGGCTTGATAGGCTAACATCAGCATCTTGAACCTGCAAGTGTACTAGCGGCTAGTGTGTAATCTGTGTAGTACCGGTATTGTATATTTTTCTGCGGACTGTCTAACCGGAGTGGTGCATGCTCTAGTTATCTCCCGCTTGGACTACTCTACATAGGGCTACCTTTGAAGGTGACCTGGAAACTACAACTAATCCAGAATGCGGCAGCTAGACTGGTGACTGGGAGCAGCCGCTGAGACCACATAACACTGGTCCTAAGAGATCTGCATTGGCTCCCAGTATGTTTCCAAGCACAATTCAAAGTGTTGGCGCTGACCTTTAAAGCCCTAAATGGCCTCGGTCCTGTAGACCTGAAGGAGCGTCTCCACCCTCATCGTTCAGCCCAGACACTGAGATCCAGCGCCGAGGGCCTTCTGGCGGTTCCCTCATTGCGAGAAGTGAGGTTACAGGGAACCAGGCAAAGGGCCTTCTCAGTAGTGGCGCCCGCCCTGTGGAACACCCTCCCATCAGATGTCAAAGAAATAAGCAGCTATCCTATTTTTAAAAGACATCTGAAGGCACCTGTTTGGGAAGTTTTTAATATTTAATGCTGTATTGTTTTTAACACTCAACTGGGAGCCGCCCAGAGTGGCTGGGGAAACTCAGCCAGATGAGTAGGATATAAATAATAATAATTAATAATAATAGCCACACCTCTACAAACATGCGAACAGCTTCATTTTGCACTGTAAAATTTGGCACCCCAGCTAGTGTGATCAGGAAAGAATATTTTTGTTAGGAAATTGTGACACCTCCTCCTCCCTATTGTCTCCTCCAACCTGCTAAATCGTCTCCTGAAAATCCAGCCTGGTATGTGGGAGCTGCTGAAAGAGGGAGAGGAATCTGTTAGAGACACCCTCCCTGAGCAGAGCAGATGTAATCTGGAAATACTGAAATATATTTATGGTTTTATATCGCTATTATATCCATCACCAGTTTATGCAACACAATTTGTCAATTGCTCATCCCCCCCCCCCCAAGAAGAAGTACAGTGGTACTTCAGGTTACATACGCTTCAGGTTACAGACTCCGCTAACCCAGAAATAGTACCTCGGGTTAAGAACTTTGCTTCAGGATGAGAACAGAAATTGTGCAGCGGTGGTGTGGTGGCAGCGGGAGGCCCCATTAGCTAAAGTGGTGCTTCAGGTTAAGAACAGTTTCAGGTTAGGAACGGACCTCCGGAATGAATTAAGTACGTAACCAGAGGTACCACTGTATCTGCCTTCAAATATCTTACAGAGATTGATAAATTGCACACACACAATATAAGTTAACGGTGGTAAACTCAGGCTCAGGGTTGGTTTAATTTTTTTTCATGCAGAAAGACTAAACACGACCCAAAGGATCTCAGGAAATTTATGAGACCGTGACCTTTCCTATGACACGGATTCTGCTACTCAAGGTCCTTAGACTTTTTGGGATGTGATGATTCAAGTAGGCATGTTTCTGCTTGCCCTGGACCTCTTTAACTACAGGTGGGTGTTTCGTATACGTGTGTGTTTTAAAAACACCTCCTAGCAAGTAAAAAAAGCCCACCTAATAACACATCAGGCAGAGGATGTGCCTGATTTATACTGTTATATTGATATGTCCGTGACATATTGGCAAAACGGAACTCTCAGCATCCCTGTTTGTGTCGAGATTTCTGCAGATATTTCATGGCCCTACCTGTGTATGCTGTTGGTTTCTCTAATGCAGGGGTCAGCAAACCTTTTCAGCCATGGGCCAGTCCACCGTCCCTCAGACCTTGTGGGGGGCTGGACTATATATATTTTTTTGGGGGGGGAAATGAACGGATTCCTATGCCCCACAAATAACCCAGAGATGCATTTTAAATAAAAGGACACATTCAACTCATGTAAAAACACGCCCATTCCCAGACTGTCCATGGGCCAGATTGAGAAGGCGATTGGGCCTTAGGTTGCCTACCCCTGCTCTAACGCATTGCCATGTTTCATAACGTTAACGTTTCAAGCCACTTCAATCTCTTAAGAGCTTGTTTCTCTTTCTAAAAGGAGACAGAATTTGCTGGGAGAAAGGCCCCTGTAGATGGCATGATATAGAACGGTCTCCTTAACACCAGCATGCAACTCAGCGTTCGATTTAAGCGCTACAAATCTTCAGACACATGTTTTGCATTAGGCCCAAGTGATTGCCGTAGCTGCCAAATGTCATAAAAATCCACTCTATATTATTTTAGCCAATGGATTCCACCCCACAAATTATGATGTCAGTGAGAAATCCTGATAGACCTTGAGGTAGATTGAATGTAAAACTGCATGCATAAGGATTTTAATGAATTTTTAAAAATATTATTAAAACTAATTAAATGTTAAGTGTAGAGATTGGGACCAATCACAATTCAGAACTCATGGTTCTGTTTTTGTTCTTTAAAAGTTCCTCTGTTTATTAGGTGCCGTCCCCGGCATTTAGCAATTAGTTGCACGCCAAACAGTTCAGAAATTTGTGCTATGAGGCTGTAAATCCATTAGCAAGGAAATGGCCTTTTCCTTCTATCTTTTCCAAATGCAAGGTGGGGGAAATTCTCTTCGGTCATCTTCTCAGAACAGATTTGTTTGCTCAAGTTGAAAAGGGGAAGCTTAGAAATATGGTCTGCTTCAAAAGTGATGAAGGGAGGTTGAATTTCAAATTCTATATGCATGTTTGGATGTTGAAGTTTCAGCTCCCCCTAGAGGTGTATTTAGTAAGGTCTCAGTTTGGAAGCAGAGTATCAAAATAATATCCATTCTAAGCCCTTTGTTATTAACTTCTGTAGTAGCTGTGATGATAAATATGGGCACAAATCATTTCATGTGCTAAAGATGCTCACATGATATGCAATAATTAATGTTTTTTAAACCAAGGCCAGCCCTACCGTTAGGTAGAGTGCGGCAGACACCTCAAATCTTGGGTGTCATGAATGGGCTATAGTATAAATCATTAGTCATTTAATCTATGGCTATTTTACTTTTCGTGGCAGGCAGTGAGAGAGGTGCTTGTAGGATGTTCTGCCTCAGGTGGCAAAATAGCCTGACTCTGCATCTTGACATCTGAGAGGAAGAAGTGCCATTTGGTGTAAAAACATTTCTTATTGCATCTTTAGGGCATGAAATGATTTGTGCCATTTGCTGCCAACTCAGGCAGCAAAATGTCTTGGATGAACCCTGGTTTACATAGCAGTCAAGAGAAATTTATCACAGCTGGAGTTAGACTGCAGAATTCTCTCTTATAGAAGCTGCCGGCCTGCAAGAATATCAAGGTGTGTTTTTTTTTTTTAAAAAACTTTTTATTGGTGCTGTTTCTTTTACAATTTAGTAATATGCAAAAGCCGAAGCAACTGGGAGAGACCAGGGAAACTGTGCAGGAAACAGTTGCAAAACTGCACATGCATGGATCGATTGCAATAGGTAAAAAAAATGCGTAAAGGACCCCTGGACGGTTAAGTCCAGTCAAAGGTGACTATGGGGTTGCAGAGCTCATATCACTTTCAGGCCAAGGGAGCCAGCGTTTGTCCACAGACAGCTTTCTGGCTTATGTGGCTCGCATGACTGAACCACTTCAGATGGAAACCAGAGCGCACGGAAACACCATTTACCTTCCCACCACAGCGGTACCTATTTATCTACTTGCACTGGTGTGCTTTCAAACTGCTAGGTTGGCAAGAGCTGGGACAGAGCAACAGGAGCTCACCACTTTGTGGGGATTCGAACCACCAACCTTCCGATCAGCAAGCCGAAGAGGCTCAGTGGTTTAGACCACAGCGCCACCCGCATCCCAAATAAACAAGCACACAATCACTGATAGGTCCACCAGCCATTGTGAGACTCAAAGCAATGAAGATGATGCCTCCCCAGCTGTTGCCATTGGCTGTGGGTTTCTTGTGATGTCACAAAAGCACTTCGCAACTGAGTGGATATAAAGGCAGGCCAGGAGGAAAGCCCTTTTCTATTTCCAGTAGGACACACCTGGCAATGGATGTGACATTCAGCGCTGCCCAGGTTTCTTCCACTTGGAGGAGGCAAATTGGTGAATGGAAGGAGGCAATCCTTTGGTAGTGGGATGCTAAGGAGCAATTATAAGGCAAGTTTGCTTGCTTGAAGGCTGCTGGTATCTGTGGTTGGAAGCTGGTGGACGTCTCATGATGAACAGTAGCTTCTGGCACAATGGGATACTGTGATGGACACCAGAGTGCATGGAAACACAGTTTCCCTTCCCGTCGCAGTGGTACCTATTTATCTACTCGCACTGGTGTGCTTTTGACCTTCTAGGTTGTCAGGAACTGGGACAGAGCAACGTGAGCTCACTGCTTCGCAGGGATTTGAACCGCCAACCTTCCGATTGGCAAGCCCTGGCTTCTGTCATGGTGTCCTGTTGCACCAGAAGTGGTTTAGTCCTGCTGGCCACATGACTGGAAAACTGTCTGTGGACAAACACTGTCTCCCTCGGCCTGAAAGCGAGCTAGTCGAATTCAACTGGACTTAAGCATCCAAGGGTCCTTTACCTTTACCTTTACCACACCGATTCTTTTTAAGTGCTTTGGGATATTTGGAGTAGGCTCTCCGAGTGTGGAATGCTCTCCCCGGGAAGTCTGCCTGGTGCCTTCATTATACAGTGGAACCTTGCTTGTCGAACGCTTCGGAAGCTGAACAATTCAGAACCCAAACGCTCGAAAGGCTTCCAAGGCACATTTCTCCATCTTTTAAAAATTTGCCAACCAGCAATTGCGCCTCGGTTGTCAAACATTTCGGAAGTTGAACAGTCTTCGGAACAGGTTATGTTCAACAACTGATGTTCCACTGTACACCTTTAGGAACCAGGCAAAAAAGTTTCTTTTTAACCAGGCCTTTGGTTGCTTGGATTGACATCCTATGTCCCTTTAAAATGTGGGGGGTTGGGGGGTGTTATTGGGTTGTTGTTTTTATATTGATTATGTATTTTGTGGTTTTATATTTTGATTTTATTCTGTGAACTTCCCTGAGACCTCCGGGTATCGGGCAGTATATAAAATCTATTATTATTATTATTATTATTATTAGGCAGTTGCTATTGGTGTTAGACACTGCTTGTACTTCAGCACTGAGCAGTGTGGAAAATGCAGCTAAAGCAAATATTTCAGATTGGGTCATCATGACTTGAACAGCCCTCTGATAATGAAGGAAAGGCTTTTGCCGGGAAATTACGGTGAGGAAGGCTGTGGACACTGGAGATCCGAGATGGAAAATCGTCATGGAAGAATAGCTATATAATTCTGAAATAGGAATGTGTGTTGTCTATCTATCCTTTGGACACAGAGCATAACCTTTGGAAATGAAACTAAATTCAATGTTTTCCTTCTGTCTGGAAGCAGATTATCTCTTTATGTTTAGAAATACTACATGGAGGAAAGTTCTGATTTTCTCAGAGGAAAGCTGGCTAATTTTGTAAAGAAGAACCCCATATATCTGCTGAGAAGTCCCTTCGCAGTCATCTGTGCACATCTGTTATCCAGACTTTATTGGAAATAAACGGGAGGTGGCCGGTGGATGGGGAAAATGTATTTGTGAATACTTTGCCAGTCTTCCTCTCCCAGTTCACAGATAATTCATCCGAGTTTCCATCAGCAATACAAATCTCCTAGATTAGACAGAGACAGACCAAGAGCTAGAACAGAGGCAAGGGAACGAATGGGAGACAGACTGTCTGATATGAGTGGCAAATGGATGTTTTTTCGTTTGTACTTATGTCAAAAGCCACAGATTATTCTTATTTTTGGTATGCACTGTTTTTGGCAGTATGCTCACATTTGTGTTATGTATTTTTTTTTGGGGGGGAGGGGTTACATTTAACATTCCACAGATGGGGAAGTGTGTGTTTGTTCTGAACACCACACATAAAAACCTTCTAATGTGGTACACACATTAAATACTTCAATTTAAAGATCACAAAAGAAATGTAGGAAACTTCCATTGGTCCCTGTTCACACCATAGAATTAAAGCACCAGCTTATCACTTTAAACAGTCATGGTATCCCCTATGAATTCTGGAAGCTGTGGCTATCAAGGGTGCTGTGAGTTGCTGTTGACTCAATTTTATTTTCAACACATGATGCATTAAAAACCAAACAAAGCTAATATCTGAAGAGAGCAATGTAATAAAAAGGAAAAGAAAAGAATGAGGCGAAACAAAGAAGAAGAAAAGAAACACAGCCACAGAAAACTTTATATTCTATCAACCTTCTATCTTAATCGTCAGTTCATCTGGTACGTCAGATGTGGCTGAACTACAACTCCCAGCGCTCCCAGCCAGCGTGGCTGAAAGCCAAGGATTATGGGTATTGTAGTTCAACAACGTTTGGCGACCCAAAGGTTCCCCACACCAGGCCTAATCCTTTGTGGCAGGGATGTTACTGGGGCTGGATATGATGGCATGTAGTACACATCATAGCTCAGCCCAGTAAGGTAAAGGGTAAAGGGACCCCTGACCATTAGGTCCAGTCGTGACTGACTCTGGGGTTGCAGCGCTCATCTCGCTTTACTGGCCGAGGGAAACGGCGTACAGCTTCTGGGTCATGTGGCCAGCATGACTAAGCCGCTTCTGGCGAACCAGAGCAGCTCACGGAAATGCCGTTTACCTTCCCGCCGGAGTGGTACCTATTTATCTACTTGCACTTTGACGTGTTTTCGAACTGCTAGGTGGGCAGGAGCAGGGACTGAGCAACGGGAGCTCACCCCGTTGCAGGGATTCGAACCGCCAACCTTCTGATCGGCAAGCCCTAGGCTCTGTGTTTTAACCCACAGCGCCACCTGCGTCCCTTAAAGTAAAGGTAAAGGTAAAGAAGAAGCTTGCAATGGGCCAAATGGACTGAAGATTACAGCAGCTGATGCCCTTGTCAGAACCTCAAATAAGAGTTGTACTGGGTGCTGAAAAGTGCTTATAGATCAAGAAATAATGGGAATCGAATTCTGGTAGCATTTAAGCCCTGTTCAGGGTGCTGGTACAGCACTTTGAGAAACAGGTTACTGTATTGTGGGGGAAACCACAGTTGAATATATTCTGCAAGAAGGAGAAAAAGACTAGTAGAATCAAACAAATTACCTCTTGGAGATTCTCTCGTTAGCATTAATCCTAATATAGGCAGTACCTGCTGAATCTGCAGAATGAACACAGTCTTGTACTTTGGCTTGTCTGGTTTAGAACAAGAGAGGATAAATTAAAATTAATTTCATAGACTTTCGAGTGTTTAACAAATGAGAAAACGAAGTTTAAAATGCTTAAAGAATGGTCTCCCCCCGTTTTCTCTCCTCATAAGGCTACCTTAGCAAATAAATTTCAAGACGCTTGCTTTCATCTGCCTATTTGTACAAAGCAACACATTTTTTAAAAATTATATCCTATAACTGCCAACAGTTAGATCTAGAAGTACTGTATCATCCCCGCGTTTTCTCATATATTATTTTATAGGATTATTTTATATTATTTGCTGGTTCGAAGATGCATATGGTTGACACGTTGATATGTTTTATGTCCTTTTTCAGACCTTCTGCATATTCGTTTCACAGGTGTGTATGCAAATAAAATGTGTGTAGAAAACTTGTGCAAATGTACATGGGTAAACTTCTTCAGCATGTAGTAGATTTATATCCCATTTTTCAACCAGCAAAGCTGCTTCAGAGGTAAGAAACATTTTTTCGTTCTGAGGAACACAACAAATGCAATTTTGTCCCTGGGAGGGGGGCAGTTTAAGGGGGTTGTGAGGGCCTCTCCCCATATGAACCGTCCCGGACTCTACGTTCATCATGGGAGGCCCTTTTTAATAATATTTTTTATCAGTTTTCAATTACAATCCAATAATAGCCTCATTATAACAATACCAATCTATACTACAATTATTAATACTCATTGTTCAAATACCAAATTATATAATTTAGATAAAGTGGGGCCCTGTGTACTAAATTTGATGAGTTTGTTTTATTTCTGTGTTCCAAAATCTTATTAATTTCCAGTCATCATAATAATCTCTTATACAACAACTGCAATATTAGTAACTTCTATTCATGTTGACACATTAAATGATTTATAAAGCTACAAGTGAGGAACTCAAAACTATATGCTTGTGGCAGCTAAAAACTATATCCTTGTGGCAACACGAGAGCGGGGCCTTCTCTGCAGTGGCTCCTCATTTATGGAATGCTCTCCCCAAGGAGGTTCACCGGGTGCCTTCATTATACATTTTTAGGCTCAAGGCGAAAACATTCCTCATCATCCACGCCTTGGGCTGATTAATCTTCTACAGCCTTTAAAATGTCTGGGTTATTGTTTTGCTGATTTGATTTATTTATTTACTTGTTTTTATCCTGTCTTTTATTCTGTGAACTGTCCTGAGATCTTATGATGAAGGGTGGTATATCATCGTCATCATCATCAGGGTTGCATTTGTCCTCTGGGCCTAATGTTTTCCACTCCTGACATACTGCAACAGAACAAGCAGTGAATTATCCTATTTAAAGTCTACCGCTTATTTTAGGGCCCAATCAGCTTGTTGACTATTATTATTATTATAGTTTATATACCGCCCTATATCTGGAGGTCTCAGGGCGGTTCACAGAACAAAATAAAATACAGTGGTATCTCCGGTTGCGGACGGGATCCGTTCTGGAGCTCCTGTCAGATTCCGAGGTTTCCGGAACCAGAGGGACCGCTTCTGCGCATTTGCGCATGGCGAAACCTGGAAAAATACTTCCGGGTTTGCTGTGTACATATCCCGAAGGATACATAGCCAGGGGTGAATGTAAGTAGAGGTATCACTGTATAGGGAAGAAGGGTTTGTTTATTTAAATGTACACACAAATACCAAAATCAACAGAGTACATATGCTAATGTTAGTTTCTCTCACAGTACGTATTTCCAGAGGGGTAGCCAGGGCAGGGCAGGCAACCACTCCTTTGGTCTCACGGTGGGAGTCCAAAGGGGAAATGGCATTTCCTTAAACTGCTGCATGAGCTGGCAATGTTGACAAGGCGCCACCCATTCTGGTCCTCCTCATCTTTTTTTGCCAGCGGGAAAGGTTGTTCCCTTGGCACAAAAGCATCTTGGGGAAGTGATGCCCACTGGCAGAAGAACGGGAGTGTGGAGGGAGCCCCCGGCACCACTATTCCAGTAAGGTGCTATCGCGGCACCCCCTGGAAATGCGCTGTGCACCCCCTGCGTGCCAGGCACCACTCCTCCACAGGTGGCACACCCATGGCTATCAACTTTTCCCTTTTCATGCGAGGAATCCTATTTGGAATAAGGGAATTTCCCTTTAAAAAAGAGAAACGTTGACAGCTATGGGCACACTATGCCCCCAGAACGTGCGCCACGCCCCTGTGGATGGTGTGCTACGCCCTTGAAGGTGGCGGGCCATGCCCCCGGGGTACGCGTCATGCTCCGGGGGGGGCAGCTACGCCCCCATCTGCTCTCCGCCCCTGGTCGTGGAGCATGCAGCTTCACCACTGATGATACCCTCCGGTAGCTTCGAAAGTCCTTTGAGATTTCAAACCACCATTGCCTACTGACGGGTGGAGAATTAGAGGCCTGTTTTACATACGTCAGCTTATGATAGCATGAATTAATCACAGGTGGTCACAGCCCTTTCAGGAGGAGGCAAGGCTGCCATATTTCAAAAAGGAAAAACCAGGACACCCCGAAAGTTGTCCAGCTTTTTTAAGGAAAGCCCCAAAGGCGTTGAGCTTTTCTGACTTGTCTAAGATCCAGAGCAAAGCGCCGCCTTTCGTAAATCCCCCCCAGACGTCAATTCCGCCTTGGAAATCCCGGTAATGTCCAGGAAAATCTGGACATATGGCACCCCTAGATATAAGCATAGATATAAGATAGATACAAGGCAGCTAGATTGGTGACTGGGAGTGGCCGCCAAGACCATATAACACCAGTCTTGAAAGACCTACACTGGCTCCCAGTACGTTTCCGAGCACAATTCAAAGTGTTGGTGCTGACCTTTAAAGCCCTAAATGGCCTTGGTCCAGTATACCTGAAGGAGCGTCTCCACCTCCATCGTTCTGCCCGGACACTGAGGTCCAGCGCCAAGGGCCTTCTGGCAGTTCCCTTGCTGCAAGAAGCCATGTTACAGGGAACCAGGCAGAGGGCCTTCTCGGTAGTGGCACCCGCCCTGTGGAACGCCCTCCCACCAGATGTCAAAGAGAAGAACAACTACCAATCTTTAAGAAGACATCTGAAGGCAGCCCTGTTTAGGGAAGCTTTTAATGTTTAATAGGTTATTGTTTTTTAGTGTTCTGTTGGAAGCTGCCCAGAGTGGCTGGGGAAACCCAGCCAGATGTGCAGGGTATAAATAATAAATAATAATTATTATTATAAGGAAGATGTTGCATCACAAGAAGATTAAAGCTTTTCCTTTACACAGAGTCATAGCTGGGGGGGGGGGCTAGTCCTATTTTTTGCCCCGGGTGACACCTCCACCCAAATGCACATGGGTGGGTATGTGCCAAACCGAGTCTTTGACCTGTGTGAAATGAATGTTTCACTCCTGCTTTATGGGTCAAAACTGCACAGACAGAAAGGAACACACACTGAGGGTTGATTGTTTAGATTGTGTACGTGTGGCTCAAAACCCAAATCTATGCACTTAATAATAATAAAAATAGCAACTTACGCACAGGATAAAAGCAGGCATGTGCTGGGTAAATGGAGATGCTACATTCAGTTCTTCCACCAGAGTGGTTAACATTGAGAACACTGAC